CAAAATTTACATATTCGTTTATGCTACATTGACATGCTAATGAACTTTTATAAAATAAAATGCTACTTCTAACAGAACGAATAGTAGAAATTTGCTTTGTTGAAGTTTCAAATTTTTCTGGCAGGTAAGTTATGAAATTAAGAAGTACTTCAGCACTTTTTAATGCTTCAGTTAAAGTAGGTCTGGATATTTTCCCTTACGTAAACGTTTATTATGTGAATTGGGATCTTCTGGATTAATAATACAAAGATTTTTTTGTTTTAACAGTCGGCACATGTCAAATATCTATAACCGGTAAATCATTGTGTCATAATAAGGAAAGAATTTAATATTATGTGAGAGGAGGGACTCTCATTAGTATATCAAATATTAATATAATAATAATATCGATTTCCAACAACCAAAAAACTAATTCTTATTGGCTGATATGAAGGAACGAATTTGTTCTAATGACAAATTTAGAAACAATTTTCTAAAATTTACCTAACACCCTTGGTGTCATATTTCAAATTGTGTAATGAACGACCCATTTTTTTAAAAATATACATTTCTTTATTTTCATAAATAATGATGATAATAATGACAAACTTCATTATAAAATGAATGTTTTTCATAAAGCTGTGCCCATTCAAAAATGGAATTCCAATTATTAATTTCTTGGAAATGATTTAAGCTTTCACATGGGTGTATATTATATGGAAATAAAATTCAATTTAACTATAGTGCAGGACACCTAGTCCCTACAACTTTCTGCGCCACAGCGACAGATTTGGGAAAAATTTCACAATCAAAAATGCAATAAAATTTTTACAGTCATGTGTTTTAAAAATAGATTTGGCATGTTGCATTCTCTTTATAAGTATCACGTGACAAAATATCTGCAATACAGATTTCAAAATCTTCAATTCTTCCAATTCATTCATTTTTAATATAAAAAATTTGTGTGTAACATGTCACTTTGGGGGATTAACATAGTAAATTTGTTAAAATTGTGCAACTTTAAGGCTTAATTCCTCCACAACAACATGG